ACACACACACACACACACACACACACACACACACACACACACACACACACACACACAAAAACAAAAACAAAACCGATGCTTCATTGTGCCGCTCCTGGATAAACAAGTGGATCGTGTGACATCTGTTGTCTTCCCGGGTGTCAGAATTGAAAGTTGCAGAATGGCGCCTGTACCGAGTCAGCTGCTGTTTTGACTTGTTTTCTTGTCTTTGTGTTTTCTCTGCCTCATTGTWTTCCTTTTGTTTTAATTCAATGCTCCCCTCCTCCGTTCATTATCATCTCTACCACCCACATCAGTCATCGCACGCCGACACACACATCACACACATCCTGACATGTTGATCATGATGTCCTGACAGACAAACACAAACAATGTAACTAAAAAATGTAATAAAATTATTGTTACTTATTTTGTCCACATTTAAAAATAGGAAATTAGTGTGGAATTTTGTACTTTTTATCTTCTTTGTAACACCAGTGGAGGGTGTTAGACTGTATTTCTACATTCCACATTACTCCTTCTCATATATTTTACAATATTTTTGTGATATATAAATATAAAATATTCAGCTTTGAGTTACAGTTAACTAAGCTAACTGCTGATCTTGTGTCAGAACATCATGAACTTTGACTATAAACCTTTCCTGCTTGGCTCCAAACAAAGAACCAGCACACAAGTCCTCACGCACACATTCCACTGAGTTCTCGTACTTCAGGACTGACTGGTTCAGTTTCATTTTAGAATAAATAATATCTAAACTTCTTTAAAATGTGACTTCCCCTAAAATGTAAAAAACAAAAAGATAAAATATGTACTGTTGTGGGTACATGTCATTGACTAAATATGCCCTACAATGTGCTCAACTTTTGTTCAGAATCAGTTTCTTATCACTGGTAAYGACACGGCTTTCCTCATTTCACTCACTCCCCCAGCTTCACAGAGCTTTAAACAGTCGGACGCTGAGCTTCCACAGAGCTCACTAGCGATGYAAAGACTGCAGCGAAACAAGACGAGTCATTGGATAAATGCTGGGCTTTGTCCCGCCCATCGGACGCTGAGCGTCTCTGAGGGTCTATGGGGCTGTGGGCTGGCTCAGATGCTCAGCTTCTGCATGATGATTGGATGATCTGTTGGAGGCTGAATCCCTTTTTGATTGACAGTGAAATGAGCGTATCAGCGATCTTTTGGTGTAAACATGCCGTGGGAGCAGTTTTTAGTTTCGTTTCTGTTCTGAGTTGAACCGGAGACTTTMCTAATCCTCTTAGCTGCATTTTCTTTGTGAAAACGACTAGCAACAAATCGAGCTTCTATTTCTGGTGGGTTTCATTATATCTGCTTGTGTTTGGAGACAGACTTCTATCACTCTTTCTGACTTCTATCRCAGTTTCTGTCCAGCGGGGGCTGCTTAGCCCCTCCACCGTCACAAAGCACTCACAGGCGGACACACTTCACTCTAGCCTCAYGCCAGTAAGAAGCTGCACATATGGCAGACAGTTTGTATGTTGTGGACCGTATTTTGGCAAAGCYATTTGATAGTCTTCCTTACGAAGAAAAACTTAGAATTAAACAGCAGGACTGATCAACTCCTCAGATTAATTTGGTGCAAAACATGGGGAAAAGTAATAAAAAAACTTATTATTGATCCCACAGTGGGGAAATAAAAAGGTCTTTTCAGCTGTCCTGGTATGACAACGTGAGCTGGCTGCTGTAAAAAACTATAGAATAATATGGAAAATTATTATAAAAGCATTGGAT